CCCCAGGTGGTCTAGCCATGCTCTTACTCTCTGTGTTCCCCATGAAGTGAGACTGGAGTGGGCTTCTTGGGAAGCATATCAGAATGCCAGGGAAACTGGATGTCTGTTTTCTATTCTATTTTCTCATTGTAGAAACTGTGGGCCCTGGGATAGTTTTTTCTGTGTTGCACTGAGCCATCTTGGGGAAAGGAAAGGCAGTGGGATCGAAGTGAGATCATTTCTCTTATCCTTCAAAGGCAGGTTTTTTTTTTTTTTTTTTTTTTTTTTTTTCCAGATCTGTGTTCTATGCTCCATGCAGCTTTCTCAGGCTTTCCCAAGTTTTGGGAACACAAAGTTGTTCTTGTCTGTGAATAGTTGCTAGTTGAACTTTCTGTGGGGGGTAATGAAGGCCTGAGACCCTGTATTTTGCCCTTTGACTGATATCTATCTGTGTTAATTCTTCTTTAAGCATTTGTTAGAAATGACCAGTGAAATAATCTGGGCCTGGAGATTGCTTCTTTGGAAGTTTTAAAATTATGAATTTAATTTTCTTGATAGGTATAGGGCTACTGAGATTATTTGTTTTATACTGAGTGTGTTGTTGTAGTTTGTGTTTTTTGAGGAATTGGTAGATTTCATCTAAGTTGCCAGATTTATGTATAGAATTATTCATGATATTCCCTTGTGGTATCTTCGATGTCTACAGGGTATCTTGATACCCCTATTTCATTCTTGTTACTGATACTTTGTATCTTTTCACTTTTTTTCAGTCTTATTTGAAGTTTACTTTATTGATGTTTGTAAATAATCAGCTCATTGTTTCATTAATTTTTCTCTGTTTTTCTTTTCTCCATTTCATTGATTTCTGCTCCTATCATTATAATTCCTTTCCTTCTGTTTGCTTTGGGTTTCATTTGTTCCCGTTTTCTAAATTCTTAAAGTGAGAGCCTAGATTACTGATTTGGAAGTGCCTCTTTAACGTAAGCATTCAGTGCTATAAAGTTCCATCAGGACTGGTTTAGCTATATACCACATATTTTTATATGTTGTATTTTCATTGAGTTCACTGAATTTTTAATTTTCCTTAAGTCTTCTTTGACCCATTTAGCAGTGTTTTATTCAAATTCCAGTGTTTTGAGATTTTATTATTATTTTTATTACTAATTTCTAGTTTGATTTCATTGTGGTGAAAAATCAGTCTGTATGATTTAAAAAAAATTGTTGAGTTGTTGTTGTTGTTGTTTCCAGGATATGGTCTTTATTGGCATACGTTCATGAGAACTTGAACGTGTGTTCTTCTGTTGTTAGGTGGAGTGTTCTATAGAACACTGCTTAGATCCACTTGGTTGATAAAGTTGTTTAGCTTTCTATATCTTTGCTCATCTTCTACCTAGTTGTTTTGTCAGTTGAGAGAGTGCTGAAGTCTCCAGCTGTAATTGTGGATTTGTCTCTTTTTCTTTTCAGTTCAGTTTTTGTTTGACATTTTGAAGCCTTATTGTTTGGTACATACACTTTTAGAATTACTTTGTCTTCTTGGTGGATTGATTCTTTTATCATTATATAGTGACCCTCAGTGTTTCTGGTAGTTTTCTTTGTTCTTTGTTCTGGTAGTTTTTTAAATTTGGTATTAATATAGCCTTTATGTTTTCTTTTGATTCATGTTTATGCAGTATATCTTTTCTATCCTTTTACTTTTGACATGCCTATATTATACTTGAAGTGAGTTTCTTATAGACAGCATATAGTTATGCCATGTTTTTCAACCCATTCTACCAATCTCTGTCTTTTAATTGCTGTATTTAGACCATTTACATTTAATCTGATTATTTATATGGGCTTTAAGTTGTAAACCATTATTTTTAGATTCTGTTAGTTGCCTCTGCTGTTTATTTTTATGTTTTATTTTTCCTGCTTTGAACATTTTTAAGAATTCCATTTTATCTGTAGTATTTTTTTCAATGTGTTTCTTTGTATAGCTTTTTTAGTGGTTGCTATAGTATACAATTATATATACATTACAGTCTACTGGTGTTATAATTTTATCCGTTTGAATGATATGTAGAAACCTTCACATTTCTTTACCTTCCTGTTTGTAATATATTGTCTTAGTTTTAATGCATACATTTGAAGCTGTATCAAACAGTGTTATAACTTTTGCTTCTGTCATCAAATAGAATTTGGAAAACTCATGAGAGGAATATTCTATTGGCTTATATTTTTGTCACTTTTTTCTTCCTTTTTAATGTTGCAATATTCCTTCTTTTTTTGTTTGATTTCTGTTTAAAGAATTTTCTCTAGTCATCCTCATACACAAGTTCTCTTACCTTTCCTTTGTGTTAGAATGTCTCAATTTCCTCTTCATTGATGAACATTTTTGCTAGATAAAGGAGCCTGGGTTGACAGTTTCTTTCAGTGCTTGAAAAACATTGTGTCACTTCCTTCTAACCTCCATGGTCATTTGAATTGTTTTTGTCTATAGATAAAGTGTTTTAACTTTTGCTGATTTCAAGGTTTTTTCTTTTGTGTTTAGTTTTCAGAAGTTTGACTTTGATGTGTCTTGGTGTGGATTTCTTTGTCGTTATCCTGTTTTGAGTTCTCTCAGCTTCTTGAATATCTGGGTTTGTATGTCTTTTGACAAATTTGGAATTGCTTCAGCCATTATTTCTTCAAGTATTTTTTTTTTTAAGCCCTACCTTCTTTAACCTCTCCTTCTGGGACTCCAGACACAAATACTAGATCAATTTTGTAAGCCCATGGGTGAATGAAGAGTTGCTCTTTTTTTTTTTTTTTTTTTTTTTTTTCCTTTTTTTTTTTTTTGAGATGGAGTTTCATTCTGTTGCCCAGGCTAAATGCAGTACAGTGGCATGATCTTGGCTCACTGCAACCTCTGCCTCCTGGGTTCAAGCAATTGACTTCTGTCATTTTTTCCCTGTTATTTAGATTGGATAATTTCTGTTTCTCTGTCAGTTCACTGATTTGTTTCTCTGTCTGCTTCCTTCTGTCATTGAATTCATTCATTGAGTTTTTTGTATTTCTGTCATTGTATTTTTTAATTCTAAAATTTCCATTCAGTGGTTCTTTATGTCTTCTATTTCTTTACATATTACCACCCAGTGGGAACAAATGTCCAAGCTCCCTATTTTACTTTCCCCCAAAACCCTCTTTGGAGGCATTAAGGACGCGTTATAACAATTTGCCAAGGATAAAACTCGAGGCTTCCCACTCACCCATTTTTTCACTGTGGTATTCAGCTGGAATAGAATACTTACTATCTAAATGCTTCTGTCATGGTAGGCTGCCCTTTTCCTGGTCCTTTAGCTAGACAATGGACTTTTTTTTTTTTTTTTTATAAAATCTGCACCCATTGGTGTTTCTAGGTTACTGGTTTCTTCAGCTTCAAGTCTAGGATATATCAGGCAAAAAGAAAACCCAGTGAACTTACCACCATGTCATTCCTAGCCATCTTGCCTTTTCTTCCCCTTTCTTTCATCTTTCACTACATTAAAGCAAACATAACAAGACACTGCCTTTCAGTGTCTTGTTATGTTTGCTTTAATGTAGTGTCCAGAGTTTTTAATTGTATTGAGCAGGAAGAACAGTGAAAAGTATGTCTCTTTCATTTTTCCTGGAATCCAGTACCTGAGTTTTAACAGTCTTTTGTGATATGTTCCTTAATGCCAAGCAATTCTAGTTTGTGTGTGAGTTATGTTTTGGAGAATGTATTTTGCTTTCTTTTGTAATAAAATAACAATTTGTGGTGAGTTCCTTATAATACTTACGCTTGAAGACAGTCATCAATCAATGCATTATTTTTCTCTTGTTATATCATACATTACAGCTCTAATTTTTTCATGTTTTCCATACCTATAATTATTTTTATGTGCACCCCCCCATTTTCTTTCATCTCTATGTTGAAATATGCAAAAAAAATTGAATACATTTTTAAAGGAAAAAAAGAAAACTTTAAACCATCACTGGGTAGTGTGAGTTTATTACCTAAATTTTGATAGTTACCTTCTTGCTAATAAATACTGAGATTGTGTTTGCATTTTGTGATATTTTACTTTCCATTATGTGCCACATGTCTTTAACATAATCTCTCTTTCTGTAGCAGATACTTAGAGGGATGTCTAAGGCTTATATAATTAGGGAGAGTTCTTTAAGATAAATAGTACAAAGCTTTGGAATAGGCAGTGTAAATGACGGACCTATGAAGCTTAAACTTCACTAGCTTTATAATATATAAAGTCCTCAACTGTAAGAAAGAAAGAGGGCTAATTTCTGATTATTATATTTTCTGTATATTATGAACTTGATAACCCTTAAAGGTCAGCCACTCCAAAGGGATATTTCAGGGCAGAAGGCCCCCTCTTCTTCACACACTGTTGCACAGGGAAGTTTGCTTTACTTGATCCAATTTTTAAGGCACCTCATCTCTTCTACTCTGCTGTTTTCTCCCCAAGTTCTGTCCTTCTATTATTTCCAGTGTAGTTAGTAATGATTTGTCTTACCTTTGTGACCATTACTTAGACTAGTAGGAAAAGGCAGAGAAAAGAAAAGGACGCTTCTTTATTTTAGGATATAGGTAGTTGGAAATTTTAAGAAACATTCTCCCAATGGTCCCTATTCCAGTTAGTATTTTTTTTCTGTAATTGGGAGAAAAGTATATTGAAGGAATTTATTTGGATTTAGTGAATTTAATAAATTGAGAACATATAATTCATCTTAGATAATACTTGTCATATTTCAAAATTATTAGGATGCAGTGGCATAACAGAATAGTATAATCACTGGTTTCCCCCTCCTATTTTGTTCTTATTTAACACACCTAGTACCCAAAACCTTGCCTACAACATTATCATCCAAACACAACCCCTAATGTTTACTAATTATCATTTAAAATGCATAGATGTAAAGCATTTTGACTATAAGGATATTAACTAAACCATACTACTTACCTCTAAATTAATTTTACTCATTTTGAATGAGAGATAAATCTATAGAAATTTTTTAACTTTCAGGTCATTTTTGTACCACCATCTTTTTTTGGCTGATGACTTATTTCAAGCCTGTTTGCTGTATATAAGAGGACTTTGTGAAGACGCAATTAATCTCAAAAATTATAATGAACATGAAAATAATCTGTCTGCCATATGCCTTGTAAAGGTGAGTAGAAGTATACTACTATAAGCTAATATTGGTATGTAGAAACTAGGAAGAACAAACAGCATTTTGAATTTAAAAAAATACAGATTTCTAAATTCATAAATAAACCATCTCTTTTGATGACTACTGTTTTAAAATATCTGCAAAGGACATGAGTTTCTTGCAGTAAATTTTAATAGATAATATTTCTTATAATTTCTTTCTTATGCCTAACCTAAGTCTATAAGACCCTTTATTTTCAAATGTATTTCCAAATATGTAATATTATTTAAAATAATCAGTTATCTCTTATACATAATTGCTACTTATCAGCTATTCTTCCCTTATATAGTGTGTCAAAATATTCTAAGTTTTAATTCGGAAGATTTGGTTAGATTTATGAATTTTCCTATTTCAAGATTCCAGAAATGAGCCTCTTAATGGAATAATTTAATTTAATTTAATTTATATAAGATAGCTCTTTTGAAGTGTTTAAGTACCTAGAACTAATTTAGTTTACAATTGAACAAGATTCTAGCGGTTTTAACCTTGCTCACCCAATGTATGAGAGAGAAAAGTAAAATTGATAGAGTTATCTAGACTTAGAGAGAGGAACTCTAAAGGGGCTTGGACAAGTTAAATATTTGATAATTAGCTCAAAAATCAGTTGTTGACTATCTACATGTGAAAGGATCAATAGTTATAAATCAACATCTATGTTTAGAATTGATTATGTGTAGTAATTGATACATAGTAGGTACTCAACAATAGTCTTTGAATAAAATCGAAGAATAAATCAATGAAGGAGGAGGAATTATCACATAGATATATATTTTGTATACTTATATTGAGAATATTTATGTTTCAAAATGTTTAAATTCACCTTAAGTAGGAGACATTTCACAGAGGAATCTTTGTGATTTAGTTTTTATGTAGAAGGAAATAGGATATGGTTTTCATGTAAAAGGAAGTAAAATAACCTGTGATATTACGTTGTTTTGTAAATGACTGAGTGACAAAATTTATTAATTAATTTTTAATGATGGGTGGGAAGGCATAAAAAACTTTAAAATATCTTTGAAGTCTGTGCCTTAAATTCTAATGAATGATAGAGAACATTACTAGTGATAGAGAAGAAATGTTAGGACTCTTTCCTAGAGACCGTAGGCCATGTCAGCTTTCATATAGCACATCAGGAGGAAGACAACAAGCTTTTCCAGACAATATGTAAGTATTTATTATCTAGTATATGCAAAGTGCTGGGCAAAGGAGATGAATACAAAGTGAAAAACAGTGCTTTGCTATTTTCAATCTGCTTACAGTTCATGGGAAGACATAATTCTTTACATATAAAAATGAAAACTAATTCTAGAGGTAGTTTCTTTGATTTGCTAATCATTCTACCTAAGTAATTAGCAAAGTATAAAGTAAGGAATGTTTACTGGCAGATAATACATGTAAAACAGTCATGTTATGGATATCCAGAGGAGGCAGAGATTAGCCTTATTTAAAATTAAAGTTAGGTAATGTCTCATATTTTGACCTAGACTGTGCTGAATTTGAATAGCCATAGAGGAGGAGATAAGGCAATGAAATAAAGAATATAAATGTGAGTGAGGCATTTAATATGTATTTGATTTGAAAGTTAGATTGGCTCATGAATGTCAGGCTAAAAATAACACAGTAATGGAAAAGTAGGATTTCAACCTGCCCATGGGGCAGGGGCAGTCCTAGTGGTGATTGTTATGAGGGCAGTTTTCAAGAATGGGAATTTCGGAGACTGTATGTGGAAAAGCCAGGTTCAGATGGAGGAAGAACAGGGATTCATAGCCCAGAGAACCAAGCTGGGGTCAGGAGTCAAGGTTGCCAATTGTGCGTTAGAATTGGAAGGCTATGCATAGCCCAGGGATGAATACACCAATGAAGACTGACAATGAGGATGTAAGGAGAATGAAGCAAGGTTATGAATGTGAAGAATGGCATTGTTCAGAAGTTAATGCCATTAATGGTGGTCATAAGTGTACTCTGCTAGGATGAAAGCATACCTTTAAAGAGGATGGAATTTCTAGAACTGGAAATATGTTCTTTGTTCAAATCTTCACTTTCAAATGGATGGAACATTATGTTTTTGTATTACCAGAGATTAATTCTTAGCTTAGTTGATGGAGATTTCTCCTGGCTAGATTCTGAATGAATTTTGAATAAAATCCACCTATTTGAACAAAACTTAGTTCTAGAGAGATCGTCACTTATCCAGTTGACAGAATCATGTAGAGTTGAGACTTTGGACCTTTTTTCATATTCGAGTGAAGTTTGTTTTATTGAGCAGTATTTTGGTGCTTAATGAAGATGTAAATATTTGTGTCCCACTCCTTTACCAGGAGAGGGCAGTGAATGGTGCTGGTAATCTACGTTTTAAATAGGTTCCTCAGTTAACTCTCATGCAGGATAAATTTTGAGAACTACTCTTAAAGAACAACTATTCAAAGTTTTTGAACATGGTATTTTTGGAAAATTATTTTGATATTGATTTGTGGGAAAAATTGGAAGTGGAGAGATACTTTGGTAATAGCAATCAATTATGATAGTACTGGAAAAATGCAGGTATAAGCAATAAAGACTTTAATTAGGATGTTGCCAGTAAGACCAGAAAGGAAGGGAGATTTGGGGAAAATTCGGACTTGGTAATCAGATATGGGACCAGGAGAGTGGAAAGTTAAAAAGTAAATCCAAAATTTTAAGCAAGAGCAATACTTTTCAGTCTCTTTTGTTGTGGGAAGATACATTTATTAATTTTTATAGTATAATTAGGGATAAAGATATCTATATTAATGAAAATATATTTTGTCAAGAAAATTAACACAGTTTAGGAAAAATAATACTGAAAGAAGGAAGAATGATGGAATATATATGCATGGATGGAACATTATGTTTCTGTATTACCAGAGGTTAATTCATAGCATAGTTGATGGAGATTTCTTCCTTTTATAGGTTCTGAATGAATTCTGAATAAAATTAACCTTATTTGAATTATTTAATTTTTTCCCTCTTCATGGTGTATTTTATCTTTGTGTTTTACATTTTTACAGGTAATTGTGACTTCAAAAGTAAAAGTAATTCCTGGGATTGGTGGATTCTCTGTGTGCATAAAAGTTTCACACACGTATCAGCTCTTGAATTTTCTGCTTCAGTTTAATCTTAGTTGTTATTTAAAACAATAATATATTTGTCTATATTTCAATCAAGATTTAGTTAGATTTAACAAGTGTTTAAATTTGAGAAACATGTAAGTCATATGGGATATATATATAAGAAAATGTAAAATATGGGGGTCTTCTTTATGACATGAAAGATGACCAAATATTTTCTTTTTAAAGTATGAATTTTGACTTTCTAACACTCAGTATTTACTATTATCTAATTAGCTGGATAGTTCTCGAACATATTCTCTAGATGAATTTTGTGAAGAGCAATTACAGCAAGCTACCCAGGCACTGAAACAACTTGAGGACATCAGAGATAAAGCAATTTCAGAGATGAAAAGTACTTTTTTAAAGGTAATTCTTTAATTATATAATATTTATCAAAGTGGCAATTTACTGGCTGAAGCAATTGATACAAATTGCATCCCTGGAAAAAGTGTCTGAAATGGGAAGGTAAGGAACGAAGGTGGTTAATTAACTAACTAACTGGTACTATGTTTTGTTATATACAATAATTTTTCCAGGTGCAGTGTGAAATGCAAAGAAATATATATATATGAATGCATATATGTGTGTATCTATATATAACTTATGACATTTAATACATTTAAATGCTGAAGATGATGATTCTCAAACTTTAGTAGCCAGAATAATCACCTAGGAGGCTTGATAAAAAAAGATTTCTGTTTCAGTAGGCACAGCCTGTGGATGTACATTTCTCTATTTTTTTTTTAATGTTTTTTCTTATACTCTTAAGTTCTGGGATACATGTGCAGAATGTGCAGGTTTGTTACATACATATACATCTGCCATAGTGGTTTGCTGCAACCATCAACCCCTCATCTACATTAGGTATTTCTCCTAATGCTATGCCCTCCCCTTGCCTCCCACCCCCCAACAGGCCCTAGTGTGTGATAGTCCCCTCTGTGTTCCCATATGTTTGCATTGTTTAACTCCCAGTTATGAGTGAGAACATGTGGTGTTTGGTTTTCTGTTCCTGCGTCAGTTTGTTAAGAATGATGGTTTCCAGCTTCATCCATGTCCCTGCAAAGGACATGAACTCATCCTTTTTATGGCTGCATAGTATTGCACAGTGTATATGTGCCGCATTTGCTTTATCCAGTCTATCATAAATGGTCAGTTGAGTTGGTTCCAAGTCTTTGCTATTGAGAATAGTGCCACAATAAATATATGTGTGCATGTGTGTTTATAGTGGAATGATTTATAACCCTTTGAGTATATACCCAGTAATGGGATTGCTGGGTCAAATAGTATTTCTAGTCCTGATCCTTTAGGAATCACCACACTGTCTCCCACAATGGTTGAACTAAGTTACACTCCCACCAACAGTTTAAAAGCATTCCCATTTCTCCACATTCTCTCCAGCACTGGTTGTTCCTGACTTTTTAATGATTGCCATTCTAACTGGTGTGAGATGGTATGTCATTGTGGTTTTGATTTGCGTTTCTCTAATGACCAGTGATGATAAGCTTTTCTTCATATGTTTGTTGGCTGCATAAATGTCTTCTTTTGAGAAATGTCTGTCATATACTTTACTTGCTTTTTGATGAAGTAGTTTGCTTTTTTCTTGTAAATTTGTTTTTCTTGTAGATTCTAGATATTAGTCCTTTGTCAGATGAATAGATTGCAAAAATTTTCTTTCATTCTGTAGGTTTCCTGTTCACTCTGATGCTAGTTTCTTTTGCTGTGCAGAAGCTCTTTAGTTAAATTAGATCCCATTTGTCAATTTTGGCTTTTGTTGCCATTGCTTTTGATGTTTTAGTCATGAAGTCTTTGCCCATGCCTATGTCCTGAATGGTATTGCCTAGGATTTCTTCTAGGGTTTTTATGGTTTTAGGTCTTAAGTTTAAATCTTTAATCCATCTGGAGTTAATTTTTATATAAGGTGTAAGGAAGGGATTCAGTTTGTTTTCTGCATATGGCTGACCAGTTTTCCCAGCACCATTTGTCAAATAGGGAATCCTTTCCCTATTGCTTGTTTTTGTCAGGTTTGTCAAAGATCAGATGGTTGTAGATGTTTGGTGTCAAAGATCAGATGGTTGTAGATGTTTCTGAGGCCTCTGTTCTGTTCCATTGGTCTATATATCTGTTTTTGTGCCAGTACTATGCTGTTTTGGTTACTATAGCCTTGTGGTATATTTTAAAGTCTGGTAGTGTGATGCCTCCAGCTTTGTTCTTTTTGCCTGGGATTATATTGGCTATGCAGGCTCTATTTTGGTTCCATTTGAAAATTAAAGTAGTTTTTTTCTAATTCCGTAAAGAAAGTCAATGGTAGCTTGATGGGAATAGCATGGAATATATAAAACACTTTGGGCTGTATGGCCATTTTTCACAATATTGATTCTTGCTATCCATGAGAATGGAATGTTTTTCCATTTGTTTGTGTTTTTTTTATTTCCTTGCACAGTGATTTGTAGTTCTCCATGAAGAGATCCTTCACATCTCTCATAAGTTGTATTTCTAGGTCTTTTATTATCTTTTAGCAATTGTGAATGGGAGTTTGCTCATGATTTGACTCTCTGTCCATTATTGGTGTATAGGAATGCTTGCAGTTTTTGCACATTGATTTTGTGTCCTGAGACTGCTGAAGTTGTTTATCAGCTTAAGGAGTTTTTGGGCTGAAACAGTGGGGTTTTCTAAATATACAATCATGTCATCTGCAAACAGTGATAATTTGACTTCCTCCCTTCCTATTTGAATACGCTTTATTTCTTTCTCTTGCCTGATTGCCCTGGCCAGAACTTCCAATACTGTGTTGAATAGGAGTGGTGAGAGGGCATCCGTGTCTTGTGCCAGTTTTCAAAGGGAGTGCTTTTAGCTTTTGCCCATTCCGTATGATATTGGCTATGGGTTTGTCATAAATAGCTCTTATTATTTAGAAGTATGTTCCATCAATACCTAATTTATTGAGTATTTTTAGCATGATGGGGTGTTGAATTTTATCAAAGGTCTTTCTTGCATCTATTGAGATAATCATGTGGTATTTGTCATTGGTTCTGTTTATGTGATGGATTACATTTATTGATTTGCGTATGTTGAAGCAGCCTTGCATCCCAGGGGTGAAGCTGACTTGATCATGGTAGATAAGCTTTTTAATGTGCTGCTGGATTCAGTTTGCCAGTATTTTATTGAGGATTTTAGTATTGATATTTATCAGGGATGTTGACCTGAAATTTTCTTTTTCTGTTGTGTTTCTGCCAGGTTTTGGTATCAGGATGATTCTGGCCTCATAAAATGAGCTAGGGAGGAGTTTCTCTTTTTCTATTGGTTGGAATAGTTTCAGAAGAAACTGTAGCAGCTCCTTTTTGTACCTCTGATAGAATTTGGTTTTGAATCCTTCTGGTCCTGGACTTTGTTTTGCTTAGTAGGCTATTAATTACTGCTTCAATTTCAGAACTTGTTATTGGTCTATTCAGGGATTTGACTTCTTTCTGGTTTAGTTTTGTGAGAGTTCACGTGCCCAGGAATTTATCAGTCTCATCTAGATTTTCTAGTTTTTTTGCAAGAGGTGTTTATAGTATTCTTTGATGTTATTTCTGTAGGATCAGTGGTGATCTCCCTTTTATCATTTTTCATTGTGTCTATTTGATTATTCCTTTATTCTTTATTAGCCTTGCTAGTGGTCTATTTTGTTAGTCTTTTTGAAAAACCAGCTTCTGAATTTGTTGATCTTTTGAAGGGTTTTTTGTGTCTTTATCTCCTTCAGTTCTGCCCTGATCTTAGTTATTTTTTTGTCTTCTGCTGGATTTTTAATTTGTTTGCTCTTGCTTCTCTAGTTCTTTTAATTGTGATGTTAGGGTGTTGATTTTAGATCTTTCTCACTTTCTCCTGTGGGCATTTAGTGCTATAAATTTCTCTCTAAGCACTCATTAGCTGTGTCCCAGAGATTATGGTACATTGTGTCTTTGTTCTCATTGGTTTCAAAGAACTTATTTATTTCTGCCTTCATTTCATTATTTACCCAGTAGTCATTCAAGAGCAAGTTGTTCAGTTTCCATGTAGTAGTGTGATTTTGCCCGAGTTTCTTAATCTTGAGTTCTGATTTGATTGCACTGTGGTCTGAGAGACTGTTTGTTATAATTTCCATTCGTTTGCATTTGTTGAGCATTGTTTTACTTCCAATTTAATGGACAATTTTTGAATAAGTGCTATGTGGTGCTGAGAAGAATGTATATTCTGTTGATTTGGGGAGAGGTCTGTAGATATGTAATAGGTTTGCTTGGTCCAGAGCTGAGTTCAAGTGCTGAATATCCTTGTTAATTTTTTGTCTCATTGATCTGTCTAATATTCACAATAGGATGTTAAAACTCCTAGATGGAGCTCTTGCCTCCCTTTTGTTGATGTTGATGCTATTTTGTTTTCTTTTTGTTAGTTTTCCTTCTAACAGGCCCCTCTTCTGCAAGTCTGCTGGAGTTTGTTGGGGGTCCACTCCAGACCCTGTTTGCCTGGGTATCACCAGCAGAGGCTGCAGAACAGCAAAGATTGCTACCTGCTCCTTTCTCTGGAAGCTTTGTCTCAGAGGGTCACCTGCCAGATGCCACGTGGAGCTCTCCTGTATGACGTGTCTGTTGATCCATGCTGGGAGTTGTCTTCAAGTTAGGAGACATGGGGGCCAGGAACCCACTTGAGGAGGCAGTCTGTCCCTTAGCAGAGCTTGAGTGCTGTTCTGGGAGATCTGCTGCTTTCTTCAGAGCTGGCAGGCAGGAACATTTAAGTCTCCTGAAGTTGTGCCCACAGCCACTCTTTTCTTCAGTTGCTCTGTCCCAGGGAGATGGGATTTTGATCTGTAAGGCCCTGACTGGGGCTGCTGCCTGTCTTTCAGAGATGCCCTGTTGAGGGAGGATGAATCTAGAGAGGCAACCTGGCTATAGCCGCTTTGAGGCACTGCAGTGGGCTCCACCCAGTCTGAAATTCCTAGTGGCACCTAGAATGCCAGCGAGACAAAACCATTTACTCCCCAAGAGAAGGGGCTGAAGCCAGGGAGCCAAGTGGTCTTGCTCAGTGGATTACAACTCCAAAGAGTCCAGCAAGCTAAGATCTACTGACTTGAAATTCTTGCTGTCAGCATAGCAGTGTGAAGTCGACCTGGCACGCTCAAGCTTAGTAGGGGGAGGGGCACCCACCATTACTAAGGCTTCAGTAGGCAGTTTTCCCCCCACAGTGTAAACAAAAAACTGAACAAAATTGAAGCATGAAAATCTATACAAAAAAGCAACAAAAGAACTAACCAAAAGTTGGTTCTCCAGAAGATTAAACAAGATTGATAGCCTGGTGGCTAGATTTATTTAAAAAAAAAAAATAGAGAAGACCCAAATACACACAATCAGAAATGA